CTAATAATACATAGAATATACATTTGAAAAATTTTAATGATTTAATATATAGAATCTATTAATCTAATATATAGTATTTGAAGGGTTTAAATTTTATTATTATTATTTTATTTAAATTTTTTATTATTGTTTTGTCTTTATTTTCTAACATTATTATTATACTTGGCAATATACAATTTTAATGATGTCAACCATCACAAAAGTTGATTTTCCGGCCTTTGATATTTTGGGTAAGAAGTATTGATCATGAGTGTTTGATGCTAAGTTAATATCATCTATTTTTCATGTCTCGAATATGCTCATGGAGTAGCATATCAAGAAAATGAGTTTAAAAAATATTTTGAATCAATTTTATAATTGTTCATGGCGACTAAATAAAATGATAAGCTATTAATGAAAAATGAATAAATCTCATCCAATTGGATTTATTCCATTCCCTAAAGTGAATGTGATAACTTATAATAATTTTGGGCATGGACAAAGATGTGATCATAATCATAGACATAATCGAAATAATTATCATTATAATTGTGATCATAATATTACATCTCACCACCGAAGTGGATAACTATGAAAAAATAGATAAAGTCAATATTCTGAAAAATAAATATTATAGATATAGAATGAATGAATATTGATCGTGTACTCGTCATACACCAAAGCACCTCATTGAGCCTTCTCAAGCCTTATTGAAAAATAAAGAGTAAAATATGAAGGCCACTTTTGTATACTAAAATAATAGTAATTAAAATTAATTACTTGTTATTTTTTTTATTTATAAATAAAATGTTTTATATTTCTTATAATTTATATCGTATAGTGATGGTTACAAATTTATTTTATTATTTATTTATTTATTTGTATTTATGAGGAATATATTTATTTATTTATTTTCTATTGATTTATTTAATTATTTATTTTATGTTAATATTATATATGATAATATCAATCTAATAGAAAGCTTTAGAAGAGCGATTATATTATTATCTAGAGAGATAATTTTTGAAGGCTCTGAAGAGCGATTATATTATGACTCGAAGAGATAAATTTTTGAAGCTCTATAAGAGTGGATATATTATTACTTGAAGCGAAAACTTTTAAAGGCTCTAGAAGAGTCAATATATTATTACTTTAAGTGACTAATTTAAAGGCTTCGGAAGAGCAAATATGTTATTATCTAAAAGGATAAATTTTATAATAAATGATATACTATTCTCTTCAAAGTCTCATAGAAATTTATTGAGTTTCAAAGATATTCATTTAAATTGATATCATATCAAGAGAGCAAATGTGAATACTTATATATTATAATCATTATACCGGATAGAAAATGGTTACACATATGCTTATTATCTACTTAAAACTTGACGTTTTCGAAATTGCTAGTAAATAATTTGATTTTGAGCATAATTTTCAGATTATGCCATTAAAATAAGTCACCTTGATAATGCTCGATGAATTTATTTCTCAAGCATTTGATTATTGTTGATTGGCTATTAAAATAAAGGTTGAACATCTCGTTGCTCATGTTCATACTCGAAAGGTTTAGCAAAATTATTTATCAAAAGGCTCCAATTGATAGCTAAACCATTATTTAAAAATAAAACCTTCGTTTATGTCCGGGGATATGCAATCTTACATGTAGCAATACTTATTCGCATATGACCTATAAGTTATCAAAAATTCTCTCCTCTTCAATTGATTTATGATCATAAGTCAAATAGTTCTTATTTAAGAATTTTTTAGCATTGCGAGTGTATATCCTTAGTGCTCTTTCATAACAAAATAAAATAAAAACTTAAAGGAGATTGAAAATATATGTTGGATTTGAATCCTTTTCGATAATTAAATATCTTGAATAATGAATAAGTGATATTTTTTTACAGACTTAATCGATTGTCTTTTTGATGAAACATTTTTTTCAATATTAGGAGGAGAGAATAAACAAAATAACCAGTTGAAAATATTAGAAAAAAGAGATTACATAGAGTACTCTATCTTTATATCAATTTGGTACAAAACAATATGAACTAGAAGTTCGAAAGATAATTCGTTTATAAGGTATTACAAACTAACTACTAGATGCATTCTCATATCCTAAAAGAGTAACTAAAATGTATGTCCTCGTTGAGAATGCTTCTATTAAAATTGATGCCCAAGAAGGACGATCTATTAATGTTATAGCTAACGAATTTAAAGCATGCTCGAAGCGTGAAAGACCCATCGGTTCTAAAGAAAAAAATTCCTAAAAGAAAAGGGAAAGATAAAAATATTTACAAAATAGTCCAAGATATTTCGATAATAGGCTTCTAGAAGAAGTCCAAATGCTAGAGAAATCAAGAGATTTTGATAAATTATGTCAATACAGGGGAGAAAACAAGACCGAAAAGAAATATTTATTGATAAGATTTTTGCACGTAATGTTGCAATTGATATTTTGTATGAAAATAAGGATCTTGAGTCAAAATTTATTAAAGAATGTCGACATAAAGATTATTGGCCTAAATGAAAAGAGCAATCTAGACAGAATTATATTCTCCTATAAAAGAGTAGTTTATTTTTAACCCATAGCTAAAACACCTAAAGATGTTAAGCTAGTAGGATATAAATATGTATTTATGCAAACACGAAATAAGAAAGATGAGATTGTAAGATACAAAGCAAAACTTTTAACACAAGAGTTTTTGCAAAGAACTAACATTGACTATGAGAAAATATATTCTCCTACAATGGATGCAATTATATTTTGTTATCTCATTAGCCTAGTAAAATATATGAAAAAATATTCATATGCATGCATTTACCGAATATGATCACAATTTATTTATTCATTTGAAATAATATATGAAAGTCCTAGAAGGACTTAACGGGTCAAAAACATGTAATACATATTCTCGAGAAAAAATTCAATTAAATTATAGAGATATTTATTAGGGTTATTTTAGTATTTATTTTATTATTTTAATTTTTAGAAATTCAATTTATCCTTTTTTATATTTTATTTTTATATCTACTGTTTATTAGTAATCCGTGTGCATGTAATATAATCACTTCAATAATTATTTATTGAAAGAAAGTTATAAAAAAAAATCCTATTTGTTTATATATTTTTATTTGAAAAGCGGTTTGTCGTATATGTTGATAACTTAAATATTATTGGAACTCCCGAAGAGATTTCAAGTGTCATAAGTTATCTAAAAAGAAAATTTAATGTGAATACCTTGGGAAAACAAAATGTTATCTCGACTCGCAGTTCGAGCACTCAAAGAATGAGATTTTTATTCATCAATCAATTTGTATAGAAAAAGTTCTATAATGATTCTATATAAAGATCATTCATTGATTAGTCCAATGGTAGTTCATTTACTTGATATCCAAAAAGACCTTTTTCTTCCTTAAAAAGATAACGAAGAACTAATTGGTCCCGAAGTAACATATCTTAGTACCACTAGTGCATTGATATATCTTGCTAATAATACTCGACATGATATAGTCTTTTTTATAAATTTATTAAGCAAGTCATAGTTTTATTTCAATACGAAGATATTGAAATAAAGTTAAATAAATACTACATTATCTTCGAGAAAAAATTGATATGGGTTTATATTACTCCAATAAATCAAATACAAGATTAATTAGTTATGCGGATGCGAGTTATTTATCCGATCCACACGAGCTCGATCACAACCGGTTATATATTTACATATAGAGATAGAGCTATATCTTGGCGTTCTATGAAACAAACTATAGCTTCCATATCTTCAAATCATATAGAAATATCAATTCACGAGGTAAGTCGAGAATGTATTTGGCTAAGATCAACGATCCATCATATCAAAGAGACATACAATTTATCTATCGAGTAAAATAAGTTTCAACAATATCATATGAGGATAGTGTTGCTTGCATAATTTCATTGAAGGAAGAATACATTAAAATGAAAATCTAGCAGATTTATTCGCTAAAGCATTACCTATCATAATTTTTGAGAAGATGATTCACAAAATAAAATACATTGTCTTAGAGATCTCAAATGATGTTTTCAACGGGGAGGCCAACATTGAGATTAATGTGTACAAGAAATATTGTACTATTTTTCCTTCACTAGGATTTTTTTCCCATTGGGTTTTTTCCTAGTAAGGTTTTAACGAGGTATATTCATTGTATAATAGACATTCAAGCGGAAGTGTTATGAAATAATAAATATCCATCATCATGTTTATCTACTTTTCATATTCTCACTACTCATGATTCTTAATATGATTCAATTCATCATTTAATATGAGAAATTGAAAGGGTGATGCGATTGATTATTCATAGTCCTTTCCAATTCTTTTCTCAAATTTGAAGCCTATAAATAGACTTGATTGTTCATTCGTTAGTGTACAAGTTTTCTAAAGAGAATAATAAAAACTTTGAAATTCTTATCATTTGTATTCACATTATAGTGATTTTATTTTCTTGTCATCCTTTCCTTCAATTCTTCTATTATTTCTATTTATTTTATAACAAAACTTTTATTATTTATTTATTTATTTTTAACTTTGAAAAAAATCCATAAATAACCTACTTGGTTTATACTTTTGGTTATTCCATGCATGGACTTCCATAACTAGTTTGTACTCTAGGGTTTTCGGTCTTGGTTGTGTATGGGCTGAGGCCACTGACCACTGAGCTCGTTTACCTTTTTTCTGGGTTATAATCGAAAGGTATTCTCTTGTGCTCAATTTCGGCTTTGGAGCAGCCCTAAAAAAATGGCACTAGACCACCATTTGCTTGCTTCAAAGCTTTAGCCCAGTTGACTATTTAATTGTTAATAACTTAAACCCAAAAAAACGCTATTTACTTACGGCCGGACTTACGCTGTGTTTTTTGTTTTTGTTTTTTTGTTTTGTTTTTTTTCCCTGTCGCGGCATTGATAGATTGAAGAAAGAAAAACCAGAAACCTAAAGCTCTCTGTCTCCATTTTCTCTTCTTTTTCTCTCAACGTGTGCTTCAAAATGGGAACCAAGGCAGATCAAGAACAAGAAGCAAAGCGTCTCAAAACAATAGCAGAGACAAAATTCAACAACTCGAACCTCAATTCAGCCCTCAAACACGCCAAGAAAGCCCACCGTCTCTATCCAAAACTTGACGGCCTTTCTTCAATGTTAACAGCCTTCAAGATTCTTCGTGTCGCCTCCAAGACCCAAAATTCAGACATCACTGACTGGTACAAGATTCTTCAGGTAGAACCCTTCTCTCATATGAACACAATTAAGAAACAATACAAGAAACTAGCTTTAGTTTTGCACCCTGACAAGAACCCATTTTTAGGATGTGAAGAGGCATTTAAGCTTGTTGGTGAAGGGTTTAGAGTTTTGTCCGATAAGATTAGGAGGAAAGAGTATGATTTGAGGTTGAGGATTAGGCTTCAGGAAGAGAGGGTTAGTGAGAACTCTACCGTGGAGACTTTTTGGACTGCCTGTTCGCGGTGTATGCTTTTGCATCAGTTTGAGAGACAGTATTTGGGGCATAATTTGGTGTGTCCTAGTTGTAAGAAGAGTTTTGAGGCTGTTGAGGTAAAAGGAGGGGATAAGAAGGATGGTGCGATTGGGGTTTGGAGTGAGAGGCTGAGGAGGAAAGATGTTGGTGGTGAGGGGATTGGGGGTTTGAGTTCGGGGCAGAAAATGGCCAGTGTTGGTTTAAAGGGAAAAGGGAATAATGTGGATTTAAAGAGAAAAATGGCCAGTGTGGGTTTGACGAGAGAAGTGGAAGGTGAGAGTGCAGGAGGTGTGAATTTGAATGGGAATGAGGTCATTTCTGGAGAATGGGGTGGTGGGAGATCGAGGACTGGGGGTTTGAGGAGGAAAATGAGTACTGTTGATGAGGTTTTGGAGAGATCAAAGCCGAAGAGGATGAAATTTGCTGATGAAATGATGACGTTAGCAGAAATGAAGTTGGAAGCAAAGAAAAAGGCTAGTCAAAAGAAGGCTGAATTGAAGGAGAAGCAAAAGGATCTTGGAGAGAAGGAGAAGGAGAAGAGGAAGAAGGAGAAGGAGAAGCGAAAGGATTTTGGAGAGGAGAAGAGGAAGGAGAAGGACAAGCAAAAGGATTTTGGAGAGGAGGAGAAGAAGGAGAAGGAGAAGGACAAGCAAAAGGATTTTGGAGAGGAGAAGAAGAAGGAGAAGGAGGTACGTTTAGTCCTGAACAAGAGCTGGAGTTTGGAGACTGAAAAAGGTGGAGCATCAAAGAAGAGTGGGGATATGGAAATCAAGACAAGGGAAGCTGTAAAGACGAGTAGAAGAATCAAATTTGTGAGGAAAGGTTCATCAAGGAAGAGTGTGACTTTGCAAATGGAGAGGCACAAGAATTCGAGGGAGACTTTGGATGTTATAACAGTGGAGGATTCAGATTTCTTTGATTTTGATAGGGATAGAGTGGAGAGGAGTTTCAAGAAAGGGCAAGTTTGGGCTATATATGATGATGATGATGGAATGCCGAGGCATTATGGTTTGATTGATGAAGTTGTTTCAGTGAATCCGTTTAAGGTGAACTTGAGTCGGTTGGATCTTCAAAGTAATGGAGTCGAGGGGTTATTTATTTGGGAGAAAATGGGACTTCATTTATGTTGTGGGAGATTCAAGGTTGCAAGGACAATGGTCGTTGACTCTGTTAATATCTTTTCACATGCTGTGGAATGCGAAAGGGCAGCAAGGGAAGTTTATAGGATTTACCCTAGGAAGGGTTCAGTTTGGGCACTTTATAATGAAACAACTTTAGGTGCTGAAGGAAGAAATCTGTCAGCTAGTGATAAGCAATGCTATGATGTTGTTGTCGCTTTAACCACTTACAGTGAGATCCATGGATTGAGCATGGCCTACCTTGAGAAGGTGGATGGGCATGAGACTGTATTTAAGAGACGAGAGATTGGGTGTCATGCTATTAGATGGCTTGGAAAAGATGATATTTGGTTGCTTTCACATCAGATTCTTGCGAGGAAGTTTTCTGGTGATGAGGTTGCTGGTGATTTAAAGGACTGTTGGGAACTCGATCCTGCTTCACTTCCTTCAGATTTGCTCACAATTTGTGGGGAAGATGACATTGAGTAGGGAAAACCGACGTGGTCCATGTATATTTTTCTTCTCTGGTTCGTTTAAGGCAGAAATATATGGATGTAAATTAAATACCTTGTGAGGTAATTATGCAACTGATGACTTTTTACAATTTCTTTAATCACGACTGCCTATAACTTAGTTAGGTTCTGCCTATGTTGCTCTGACCTTTTGCTTCTGTTATGTTGTTCAATTGTTCAAAGTTAACTGGGTTATATCTCCAAACACGAATGTGTGTTGGAGTGCAACACACAAGCAACTAAGGCACAGGTATATCATGGTTTAGAGGAGTTACTAACCAATGGGTTTAATATCACTATTTAGAGGAACTTGTTGAAAACTGAAAGACATGTATGGATTGGCAGCAGTTGAATATGCAGTTTGTGTTTGTGCACTGATGCTCTATTTGTCCATAAGTATGAGCTGTGTTCTGGTATTTATACTCCTAGGTTTGCCGAATTTCGAGGCTCTAGGATTTTTCTTAATCATGGTTATGTTCTGTTTCTTTGTTGGATCCCAAAAAAAAAAAAAAAAAGCTGATCACATGTCATGTATGAGCACATGCACACTTTTGTATTCATGTACTTATGCATGTATGTAACATTTTTAGGCTTCTATGATCTCTGGAAAGTGCTTCTGCAATCCTCAAAGGAATTTTGAAAAAAGAAACATCAACTTTTCAGTTTGCACAAGGCATTCTGTGGGTGGGAGTGGGGTTGTAATATTGCCCTTTTCTGGAAATGAACTTCAACACAACTGTCTTTTTGCTATTTGATCTGTGCTTGTTGACTAATTTGCTATGTCATTCTTACTCTCAGCTTGCAGGCTTTTGCATTTTTTGCACTTACAGTTTGCTTTTACATGCAACTTCCATTAATGAAGACTTCAGACCTCATGAGTTCAAAATCTCTTTTGTGCTCCTTTCTAACCATTGATCCTTGCTTTTTGATTTAGTACTTTAGCCTTCACTTTCTTGCATTAAGAGGATCCTTCCCTAATACACCAAACAAAAAGAAGCTGACAGTTACATTTAACCAAGTTCATCCTACCAGTAATGGAATGCAAGCCTCACTCCTCTTTCTTCTGTTGCACACTTGTGGATTTTATGTTCGAGGTTTCAGAAAGTGATGTCCTCAAACTTTCCATGTAGCCAAGCTATTTACAGCTTTCAGATATTAGCTTGTTGATCTTACTAGCCTGATATCAATTCTGGGTTACTGCAGGAGCACTTGATTGCTCTGTTGACTGGTTGTTTTGCAGCTATTTTTGCTGCTTTTGAGGATATGCATGTCAGAAATGATTTGCTAGCTGAGGGAACACCAACTTACGACATCAACTCTGTAGTAGTAGTCACTGGTTTTGCTATTTTAGCAAGGTTGCAAAATGTCAGTATATTTTACAGCAGCTCAAGATGGACCTCATGCAAAATCTGCTGCAGAATTTTGGTTGTATCAGTCAGGTGAGCAATAAAGGCGGCTTATTTTTTGTTCTGAGATATTGAGCCAAAAATACTTGGTTTTTGTACTCTTTTTTCTTTGTTCCTTTTTTCCAGTTTGGGCATTGCTTGGCTATTATATATATATTTTTTCAATAATTCACTTTTTTTAACTCGTTATGTTGCTATTCCATTTTCAAGAAGATCAATCGCTTAACTAATGAGAAGTGTCAATAATTTGCTGCTAGAGATTGTCCTCTAATTACAATTCTTGTTAATACAAAACCAAAAACAAAGGGAGAAGAAACCTAAATTTGAAAAAGCACGCTTTTCATTTCTCCACCAATCCTTTATCTCTAATTTTGATTTTAATTTGGCTCTGTTTTGTTTTTGTTTGGTGCTTTGATGTGTTTGATTTTGAATTGATTCTGTTAGGTTTTGATGTTTTGTATTGGTTATTGAAGGAGATGTTGTCACTTATTGACTTGAATAAGAGATCAACTGAGGTTGGCTGTCAGTTCAGTTTGTGGAGTTAAAAGTTTTCCAGGTCCCGTAGTTCATCGTGCTGATTTTGTGGTTGCTACTATGTGTTTTTGTTTTTTGTGTTGGTAATTGCTAATGGCTTGAATCAGCATTCTAGAGATTGCCTTTCTGATTTATAGAGCTAAATTTGGTCTGGATGGGATTAACATTAGGTTGTCTTTTTGCAGTTTTCTTGCAAAAGTGATTGGTTAGTATCTGCCTGCTAGTAGCTTAATGGATCGGACTTTTGACCATGGTAAGTTGATATGCAGACAAGCAATTGACTTTTGACTAATCAATCCGCTTTGCTCTTTTGTGTTTCAAGGATCCTCGATTTCCCAAGTTTGCTGCATCTAAACTCAGATTTCAATTGTTACTGGCAGATGAATAAAAAGTTGCAGCAGCTAAAGGCTCCAAAAGAGAAGCAATTACAAGCTACAAAATCAAGTGATGTCACCAGATCCCTGAATTCCTCGGCAACACAGAACGTTATGTAAGCATGTTGATTGAGATTTCTTTATTGTGCTCGAAACTTAATTATAGAAGCATATTTACATAACATCCCAAATTGTTCACTTTCTCCACCTTTGATCATTTCGTTTACAATACCAATAACCTTAAAACACATATCATATGAAACTATTCCTTCTCTCTCATAACCCTAGCTTTCAGTGTACGTGCATCAATACTAGGTTGGTCCTTAAAATCTTCAAGATATTTTTCTGCAATCTATTTAGCTGAAATGTTCTTTAGCAGAAAATCCTTTCAACATATATGTTTGTCATAAAAGGTCTTTATTTGTCAACAAGTTCTACCAAAAGATGGTGAGACACGAAACTTCCACCCATATCTCGTACGATAGATTGCACTGATACTTTGATCTTCATTCTTGAGATAGTTGTAGTCATATTCAATCTGAATTGATCGCCATTTTTTCCCTCCATTCCTCTCACCCATTATTTTTTTCGTCCTAAATTTCCTGCTTGTTTGCACACCAAACAAAACATCTCTCTTTCTTCCGGTGAAACTTTTTCCTCATTCCCCTTCTTCCTCTCCTTACTCTTTAATCCATTTTCGTCATGTTACTATGTGCAAGAGCCCAAATAAACAAACATGTTCCTTTCTTTATAGGTTTTATCTTATAAATCAGCCACCAAGTGTTAGACAAAATGTCTTCTTCATTCCTTCAATCTTCTTCTGGCATCTGAATAGGATTAAATGAATCTTACATCAAATATGCTAACAGGTACTATGAAAGTGGACGCAAGACACTTAAGAAGATTTTAAAGTCTAACAAAAACTCACACAGACTATATTTTTACTATGATTGATGTGAATTTATGGACTTTTGTGAACCAATAAACTTGATGGAGTTCATGAAGCTTTAAAGGATGACCTTGGAAATTCAAGAATTGAAGCAAGAAGTTCAAGAGGTGGGTGGGTTGATTAATGAGTTGAAGGCAGTGTTGGAGGCTTGTAGGTGTAGGAGTATACATTTGTGGATGTTTTTTAGTTTGTTCTTTCATATGATGTTATATCTTTTAATGAAATAGGTGATGTATGGAATATATTAAGATTTTTGTTGTGTTGTTTGATTAAGAAATGAATATTCTCAAGTGAGCTATAGCAATGCTTTTGTATCAGTCTTATTGTTTTTGTTTCTACTAGATTTATACCTGCGCTACGTTACGGGAAATTAATTTTGTATGTTAAAAAAAAATAACATTTGCTAACAAAGTATGCGTTGGGCAAGAGCTGGGCATTGATGAGCAAGAAAAATTTAAATATGGCAGTAAATTACAATCGTTTCAAAACAAAGCCATCTGTATTGAAAAACCTAATTAAATTGCAAGAGTTAAAGAACAATTATTTGCTTTTCTAGTTGGTTTATTTCAAATGTGTAGGGAAACAGCAAGATGAGCAAGTGAGTTTGCTAGAATAAATCATGTAGAAAATTGCAACGGGATGGGCAATAGAAAAAGGGCAAATTATTTGTTTTTATTCCTATATATATCGAAACAGTCATAGAAGAGAAAAACATGAAATTTCTTTATTTTTTCTGGGCAATATTAAGCAAATCCCATCAAGAAAAATTAAAAAATAAATGTTTACCTCAAGTGATCTATTTGCACTGCCACAATGATATTTACATAAGACATGTTGATTTTAGCGGTAGGGAAATAAATAAATCCGCAAACAGGAATCTCATACATGTGAAAGGCAATAACATGTTCACTCCATGTTAAATCCGACAGCAAGAAATAGGCTATAAACTGTAACAATGATCTGACATGAGGCATGAATGGATGGCCGAAGATTTGTTGGGTCAATCAGTATAATTTTCGCAAGCAATTATATGACAAACGCTGTTATCGGAATTAGATTAATTCCATGAAGCAAAGGGGTCGATTAAAATACAGTCGAGCGGATGCCTGACATACAGGTAAGGAAAGTTCTCTTTCGAAGGATGGCATGCCATTCTAAAATCTAAATTGAAGAAGACGATGGGGAAGCAAAGACAACAAACCATGTTTATGCGTAGTTGGATGGTGCTATCGGTGGCATTAGCAAGGAACGTAGAAAGTGTCAATGTCAGCCAAGTGTCTTGTCTAGAAGTTTTGGTTTTCATGTTATGCCCATGGAGAGCGAATGCAACAAGTAAATCCATTGGTATATGTGCTTCCCAGGAAGTAGCAGTTCAACAAACGCCAACGCAATTAGTTTCTACTTATTGGCATCTCGAGCTCCATGACCAATCTAATTAAATATATTTATTTTAATTTGATAATATATATTATATTATTAATTAACAGAAATATATTAAATTAAAAATAAAATTTTATTCAATTTTATAATTTTTAATTAAAATCTTGTATCTATTTTATTTATTTTTTAATAATTTTTGTAATTCAAAAATATGATTTATTCTTAAATAAAAATATGTAATAATCTAACTATAAAATTTTAAAAATATTTTTTAATATTTTTTCATAACATTGTATCCAAGAAATAAAGCAACATAAAAACATGAATAAAAATT